AGTATATCACATTCTTCAAGAATAATTTTCCAATAAAAATTCCAGTTCAAGATCAACTTAAGGTAGGAGAGTATTCATAACCACATATCAAGTAGAATCCACAGAAACCATAGCAGATCTAATGCATTCTCTATTATGTGAGCATGCATAACTAGAGAAGATTAAAATAGGTAAGGCAAAACTCGATTACATAAACCTATTGTGCAGATTAATTATAAAGTAGCCAAATTATTACATTATCTTTTTTCCTTGTTGAACTCGGAATATATATATATCGGATGACAGCAAAAGACTAATATTTCAAGATACTAAAATTCATCTAAGAGTCTGACATCTCCCAACAAATTCTCTTCTATACACATGACCTAATAATCAAACCCTTTACCATATGCTTCAAGACGTAGTTATTTTCGATATTGCCACACTCATGTTGGTATTACATTATTTTGACCATCATTTGTGTAGTTCACAAAATCAAGCAAACAACAAATCGCACAAGAATGCAAATTGCAGAAAAGTCGATATTAAACAGTTAAAAGGATATCAGGGTCATAATCAGTGCGATACTCGTCCCGAACCTGCCCAAATCAACAGAAGCATTTACAATTAGCCATGAAACGAACAGCCACAGAAACACAAAAACACGAGATGTTCACCTGGCCACCACTCCTCCCACGACCCCATTGTCTTCCATCCTGGAACCCCCAATCAAAATCAACACGAATGAGACGATCATCCAGTATGGTCCCACTTATGTATTTGCAAGCCTCCTCAGTATCTTCACGAGAATAATATCTGCCAAACAATACATCCATTCAAACACACTCACAGAGAGAACCGTCAACTAATACTGAATAGCTGCAATTAACAGGGTAATGAAGACTAACAAAACGAAACAGAAGCCGCAGGGAGTTTTCGTGTTTTTGTCCAAGCCCATAATGATCTTCTTGATTTCGCCAGAGCGCGAAAAGAGCTCGTAAACTTGCTCCTCCGTCGTGTAAAACGACATGTTCCCAACGTAAACAGTTGTGGAAGTCAGAAGCGCCTGCTCAAACTCTTCTTGCGTTCCGGGGAATCTTCTATCCCGATACGCCGAAAGCTTCGACGGATCCTACAACACTCACCGGAATAGAAAATTAGCTAATCAAACAAAAGACGAAGTTCTTTAACCGGATTACGGATTACGTAATGGTGTATGATAAGCGTACCTTGAATAACAACGCCATGTGTTACCCTGTAACAAAATTCTGAAGAAGAGAATTTCAGAAATAGTGTTAGGGCAGAGAAGAAGAACCCAAACTTTTACGGAATCAATTCGACCCGATATATTGGACCGGTTTGCTACGACGGGCTTCTTGAACGATTGGGCTCTTGTTTTGGCACCATCTCTTCCATTAATGGCACGTCCTAGTTTTTTTTTTATTTATTGCAGAAATATCCCTCGCAATAACGTGTTTGTTCTGACCATCGTATCAAGTGGAATCATATTTTCTTTTTACATTGGATTATACATTACAATCAAAATCAGAACCGATACTATTAAACAAAAATGTGGTTTTGTAGCATCAGTTCAAAAATGCCTATAAAATATATGGTGATATAATTAAAATTGAAAATAAATATATTAACTAAAATTAATAACAATATGTTACCACTCATGTGTTATTTATCTAATTTTTTATATTTTGTAGGGGAAGAATTTTATGTTTGTTTTTCTATTGAGAATAACAGTTGACACATGGGAAGTTTTTAATTTTAAAAATATTTATTTTGATTGTAATTGTTTTCTCATTTTTGTTATTGTGTATTTATATTTAGTAGGATCTTGTATGAGAGCGGACCTGAGAAGTTTTGTTTCTCCAGGTTTTTTTAATTGTCATTTATTCGTTTCTGATTTTTGTCAAAATTAAAAATTAAATATTTATTCTCATTTTAGTGGTTTTGAGATTTTCTTATGTTATTTAAAAAAATATTATATTTATAATAAATAAATTTTAATATTTATTATATATTTTATTTATATAAAAATAAATATTTGTGATTTTATAATTTTTTTATTATTATTAAGTAAATATATATTTTAATTTATTATATTTATATTAAAACAAGTACGTAAAAAAATATGTGATATTTTTTATATAAATATATAATACTTATAATATTCATTTTATTATATTCAATTTTTTAATGGTATAAGGTAATTATTTTTAAATTATTATTTTAAAATATTAATAAAATATAAAATATTTAGTTTATAAGAATATATTTAATAAATTAATTTTCATTTAACTCGTGCAAAGTAATACAAATATCTAATTATATATTCATATGTATATGTTAGATGTGCAAATGTATTGATGCGCTGTTTAAACCAACATCTTTATTAATAAAAGAAAAAAATATTGTTGATTTTTTATAACATTATTTATGGATGCACTGTGAAATGAGAGATTGTTTGATGATCTAAGTTGTTGTAATCACATGTAAGGCTACACATGTTTAGTGCACTTAAAAAAAATGTTAATATTTTGTAAGATTGAAAACAACGTTAATAAGATCAACGTGATGAGAAAGGGAGTGTGAAAATGTTGTTGAATGGATTAAAAGTTATTATTGAAATATGCTACATTATTGAGAAATAATCTTTTTAAGCGTATGATGATTAAAAAAATTATAATTTGATCACGTTGATTAAGAGATAGGTAGCTGTGCAAGATATTTTATAAAATTAAGTTTAACAATTAAAAAAAATATAAGAATTAATTGGATATTTTTTCTTAATACCTCAATTTCTAATGCCATATTAAGGACAATAAGATTTATGCTTTTAAATAAAAACAAAATTTATCTATTTTTTCATTAGATATACGGTGATTTGCGTTATAAAGGCCTGCGAACATTGTTGTATAATAATATAATATATGATTTTTCCAAACTTTTTCTATCAACTACAACATTTACCTGTTTTATAATAGAAAATCAATATTGTGTTTCTATTCATAAGAGAGAAATTAGAGAGCAACTTAAAAGTTCAACCTTATTCAAGCAAACATTTTGCTAAATTTTATGATTATTGTGAAAAAAAAAACAATATATTTTGTGGCAAAAAAGAAGAAGTTAAAAACACTTTAAATCCTTTAAAATTATTTAAAGCAATTTTGTTTGTACAACAAGGATTCCATAAACGAGTTTAATTGTTAATTCATAAAATGTGGTATAAAATAAAATGATACTAGTTAAATTAAAAATATATATAATAATGATAAAGATATTTTTTATATTATTTGACAAGAATATTTCTCATATTTTTTTTGTCTTGTGGAGATTAATTTAATTATTTATTTGTGTTTCATCTAATAATGAATTTCGTTCTGATCTTTGTTTTGATAATATTGTTAGAATCAATTTTCATATATGAAATATCGATTTGTTTTATAATTTTTGTTCATCACAATTTTATTTTTAAAAAGTATTTCAATAAGTTAGATGATGATGTATATAAACTAGTTTTATTATTTTTTACCTCGACTCATAAATAATGTAATACTCATGAGTATATCAGAATATAGACTATAGTAAATAACTAATTTTTTTAACAAAAATATTTCTTAGAATTTTTTTTGCTTAGTGTGATTAATTTAATTATTTATTTGCATAAACTATATATTTCTTTTAACCTTACTTATGTATGGTTGATGGTTAACGATGAATCAAATGACTACATGTTGTTAGATTCAATTATTATTAAATAGTGAATATATATATATATATATATATATATATATATATATATATATATATATATGATGTTTAAAGAAGATAAATCACAAGACTGTGATAAAAAATAAAATAAAAATTGATAGAATGTGATGATGAAATTGAAAACGAAGATATAAAAAAAATTAATGATGAAAGAGAATAAAAAAAAAAGATAAAGATAATTATTAGAAAAATAAATAAAAAGTTTAGAGATGAAGCCATTATAAAAATAAACATAATAGAAAATATTTATTTAAGGTAAATCTTGTATTAATTAGAAGTTTTGTATTATTACTAAATATATTTTATATATTTAATGAATATATATATATATATATATATATATATATATATCAATATTATATCGTTTAACTTTTAATAAAAAATTACAACTTTTAAAACATAGATATACTTTAACAATACTTTTTTCAAAAAAAAAAAAAATATATATATATATATATATATATATATATATATATATATTAAGGTGATGAAACTTCTTAAGATAAAGGGAGTATATCATCTAAATTTTATAATATATATATATATATATATATATATATATATATATATATATTTATCAATTTTGTCCTCAAAATCTTAATAAGTATTAAATATATTAATATTTTTTATTTTTGATTTTGATTTTTTTATATTTATATCTGTCTCCCTGGCATTATTGGTTAAGATCTATTGAGTTAAAAGACAAAAATCATAACTTTTACGGGAGGTAATTTTGAAATGATTGTAAAGTAGAAGAATGATGAGTTAATAATATTTAATATTTCAGTAGGAAAAAAATTTCAGTCACAACTTTCTCTCTTACTTCAAAACTATAAAAAAGTTTAAATCTGTAAAAGAAGAAAATAATTAGCACTTATTAAATATAACATTTTACTAACTAATATATTAGAACAACTAAATGAATTCTCAAACAACTCAAATGTGACCAATAACTACAATATTAATTATGAGTAGTATGATGACCAACGACGGTGGCTCAATATCCAATTCCTTTGAGTTAATTATGTAGAGTTAAGATAAGTAATAAAACAGCCTTATCTTTATTTGCAGAAGTAAGCGGTGCTTTTAGTAAACAACGGGTATGCATGGACTTAAAAAAAGCCTGTTAGAGTTTTTTTGGGGTTCATGTGCAAAATACCAAGCAGGGTTTTAGTTTTGTAGAACCCTAAACAAGTGAGTGAGTATCCAACGCTAACCCTAAAAATTCCGACAACGAAATGGCATCCACCGCCGGCGCCGCCGCGAGATCGATACTCCGTTCATGTTCAGGTCGCCGCACCGCGTTCCGTCTCGGTTCGGAAGCTAAGGCAGCTCGTTCTCCCTTCCGCGTTGCTTCCAATAAGCCTCTCTCCCAATCAACACTGAGGTAATTTATGTTCTTATTTATAGCAAATTTAGTTTTACTAGTTGAGTTACTTGTTTAACTGTTTTGAATGCAGTTCGTATAGAAATTTTTCTTGTTTGTTTTTTTTGCATGAAATCTCTATGGAAATATGTTAACAAGTTAGGTTAAGTTTATTTAAGAATTAGAATGTGTAATACAATACATTTTAGATTATGTTCAGAGGTTATATGTAACTTTGAACTAAGTGCACTGTAGTGCAGTGATGAATTTAGTGTTATTTGGATTGGTATGTTATTGATGGAAATGAAATGATGGATCGAGGTGATTTTCTGTGAGAAGGTGTCCCGTTGAATTGAGCTTTTGTGTGGAATCCATGCTACCGTACCATACGGCAACTGCTTCTGCTTTGATGACTTCAATGCTCTCCGTGTCTCGCCACAGCTACGGTTGGCTTCCTGAAGGTATAGTTTCTGCTTCTTCTGCACTGCAATCTATAATTTTGGAATCAAAGGTTAAGTTTATTTTCAGTTGTTTACTTAATGGTTTTGGTTAAGTGGAAATGGAAATGTTTTTGAAGATTTCTGTCTATAGCATTATATGATTTGTTTAGCATTCTTATTGCTCAAAAACTTTCTTTTTTTCTCCTGTCTGCTGGTTTTGACATGGGAGATTACCAAGTATTTGTTAGAGGAGAGGGGGATATGGGAGATATTTTTCAGCTTATTTTTAAGGAAAAAAAAAATGAATTGGGACTCGGAGAGTATTATGTTATCTGGTCCCACTCTTTGGGCGCCTAGTCTATGATCATTTTAATTGCCTGACAGTTGGATTTACTTTTGAATTAGGTAGCTAAACATCTGTAGGATTCCCTGTGTTCTTTCTTCAATTTAATTTTCGGGTAAGTTAGTGTTTCTTTTCAGTTCTTGGGTTAAACAAAATAGAGGCTTGTCAGATCTAATGTGTAATGCTTCGTAAAACGTATGACATATAATTCTTCAAATTAATAAGAAAACAGGCAGCAGGTGGTACATCTACTTATGCTTGATCATATATATATATATATATATATATATATATATATATATATATATATATATATTAATCCTGTACCTAAAATTGATGGAAAAGTTATTCCCTGAATCTTCTACTTTCCCCACTGAAACTAAATCTTTTAGTGAAGCCACACGTACTCCTTTTGTTTGTAGGCAAAGAGAAGACTATTTGAAGATCAAGAAGCAAGGTTGGATGACATGGACCTCTTTTGATTGGGCTTAAACAAAACAATCGTGCTTATTAGAAAGAAATGCTAGATTTCACAAAAAAAATCTTGGTGCTCGTGGATTCTTTTAAGTCGACATGGTGAATGTCATTAAACTGGTTTTTCCTGTGTTCTAGAAATTAATTATTGTCTCTTACGAATCATATTGTTCAAAGTTCTTGCATATTGAGTACAATTTCCGGGCTGGCATAACCTTTGGTGGGTTCCGAGTTTAAATAAAAATATGTTGACCTTTTTATACTTAAAAAGAATAAGATAAATACCCTTCACCTTTCTTTTGAGAGTTTCTCTAGAATATAGTTTATTTTTGTACCTTTTATGTGTAATTGTTTGAAATATTTTATACTTTTGTTTTGTGTGATCTGCTGCTGAAAATTTGTCGTTATAACCATAATTGGTGCAGTTTAATTTCGCATCCTGCTTTAAAGGGTCAATTGATAGTCGAGGCGTATACTGATCTCTTTTGTTTAATCAGATTGCAATGATGATGTGTGATAAATGTTCTGAAGATTGAAGCAATCTTTTATGTACAAATCTGGTTCGTGACAATGTTTTGACTGAGCCATTGGATGGACAATTTGAGTCCCAAAGGCTGAAAGGAACTTTAAAAACCTAGATCGCCTGCACTTCTGTTCTTTCTATTTCAGATGCATAAAAGACTGCCATTTTGTATTGATACACGTTGAATATAGTATTGTCATGTTTGTCCACGTTACTTGAAAATTTCTTATTGAATCAACTATAGATTTTTAATGAATGCTGAATTGCAGTATGTAGGAAAGTTGTTTATGTCCATACGGCCCTGCTGATACCTTTTAAGCACCCTTCCCCTGTGACTAGTGTAAATCCATGCTTTCTGTCCATCAATTACTGAAGCCTAATAAACTATAATGTGCTGCTGGATGGTACCTCACTTATCGCATACACAGTCACTTGTATTTTTGGACTAAATTTTTATTGCCCTACGACATCCATTTTTACAATTTCCATAGCTTGTTTTCCTGCTCAACTTAGAGTAAATAAAGCTGGTTTAGTTTTTTTTTTTCATTCTTCTGTATTTTATCTGTATATAAAAGTGGTCGGTGATGTTTTCTTTCTCATTTCCTTTATATTTTTCAACTTTCAGAAGGAGAGGGGTCATGATGTGATAACTACAGAATGCAATACAGATTATGCTCAAAATTTACTTGTGTACGTGTCAAACTTGGACTGTTTTTGTTTTTGTAGTCACTATAAAAGTTGTGCCTTGGATATTTGAACTTTCTATCTGTAGCCTCTCTTTCATATTCTTTTCAAGTTGTGATTGTGCTGCTTAGCTTGGTCCCGCAAAATTCGGCTTCAGGCTCGCAAATTTTCAAAAATTGTGCCCGTCCTCAAAAGCTTCACACGCATATGCATGTTATTTCAATTTAGCTTGCAAACTCTACCGATTTACCAACGTTAAGTTTTATAAAGGTCACGTGCTGAACACGAACTAGGATTTCTTTTTTTAATTTAAAATCTGATCGAGAATGGTACAATAATGAAAACTAACTGATTGGGACATTTGAATTGGTTCTCTGAACTAAATGGCTTGCAAAATAATTTACATGATTATGTGACTACTAAGTTCAATTGAGCGAAACAAAAAGGTTTACCTGTAAATTCAGCTGTAATACTGAACTATAATAGTAAAAGTACATGGTTTTTATATAATTTCCTAATTAAAATAAGTCCATTGCTAGACACCATGAAACTAGTTCGCTTTTGAAGGTGAACCATAAACCAATTCGGCAGGAAGGTGGATCTTAAAAGTGAAATTCAGTTTAATCGCGTCCAATTTGGCATGTCAGTCGCAAGCATTGAATTTATTTAACTAATGCCAGAAACGCCTTTAACAACCAAGAAATCATATTTAATGTAAACTAGCATCTCCTGGTACCTAAAGGTATGTGGCATGAATCCTTATACAGTCTTGCTCTCTTCCATATGCAAGGAAATCATTTCCGAAGTCAAGCCCTTCATCAACCCATAAGTTTATTTTATAAGCCAAAAATAAAATGGCATTTGAATGCAAATAGTTCATCTGCTCTGCTTCACACAAAAAAGGTTTATTTAATGGATGTATAGCTAACCAAGGGTTTAGAATATATTTATATGACAATAGTGCAAAATTATTTGTTCAAAGATGACAGGATACATTATTAAATTGGGGACACAACAAATAATATTTACTTTGCACTTAAGCATAAGCATTATCACGATCCACATCTGACCTGAAATATAATTTCCTTGCAATAAGGACAGCAATCTTAACACTAAATAAGCAAGACTGTACCATAAGAAAACTGCAACGCAGTCAATTGTTCAATGGTCGAAATAAAAATTAAAACCTCTGGTATACCCAAAGATTCACTCCGAAGATAAAATCACTCTTCAACAACATTGACTAATTCATATTCAACCAAAGAAAGATTATTATCCTCTTTAACTTCAAAATTTGCAGGTTCCGCGGCCTCAATACGCCCCCATCTATCAACTGCAAGCCTCATAGATCCCTTGAACATGTCAATCTTTGCATTGCGCAGTGTTAAAGTAGCACCAGCATTCATGAGGTCAACTGCAGAAAAGCAAACGAATTAGTAATCCCTAAAATATAAGCAAACCAAATTAATAGCTTATACCCTAACAAGCAAGAATGGCAACATCTAGACATGTAGCAAAGACAAAAGTGTTAACAAAATACACATGGAAAAACATTTGCTTTGGAGAAAAATATAATGAGTACTACCACACAACAAATATTATCCATGTGTTTGGATTTCACTCAGAAACCTCAAACTACGTTCAACTCAGCCCTTCCTCTAGAATGATTTTAAGTTCAGCTGACTTGAAATGCGTCCAACTGATAAACCAAACACATAATATATTGTTTAAAATATCAGAAACAAATGTTACAGCACAATAGATCCACCTAACATGGGGAAACATTAATTACAGGACAAACCAAGTTCCAACAAGGTCAAAGACAAACAAAATTAACCTAACAAAGCTATTAAAAAAATGGTCCACGACAACCATTTTAGTGGTAACATTGGGAGTTTTTGGGGTGTCTGCAATGGCGAAACAACCAACGCTGTGGCTGCATTGGTCCGCAAGGTAAACCTTGCCCTAACATAACACATCGAGGCCCCAACACCATAGATATATTCTTATGCATAAGATAAATAGACAGGGAACCAGGTTTCCATGTTTCAACCCGAGATACACTCAAACCAGACAAAATTAACGAGTTTCAAATTAATCAAATTCCAACATCATTGAACAAGAAAAGTTTTATACTGTCACCACAGTAACATTTCTATATTCACCCTCAATAAAAACCATTTATCTTTTAGCACGGGAATTCTAAAAAAGCCTTATTAAAAACCCTACACCTTCACGTCCCAAGTGCTTGCAATCCAAAGGCCACAAAGTACTATAAAAAAATCAGCTACTTTACAGCAAAGCCTTTACCATTTTAAATACAACACATCAAACACGTGCAAACTCAAAATCCCATCACCACACAACACAACAGTTAAATAGGAGAGACAAAAACAAACATCATCGTGCAAATACAAACATAATCGTACCCTGCTCGTTGCGAGCGGTGAATATTATGGTTCCCGTTTCATCACCGACGAGGCACTCAGCTATGCGCGATGGGCGTGCCGCGAGTACCGACGATCGACCGTCGCGGTTACTCACCGTCTTCACTGGCTTAGAGCTCACCACTTTTACTGTCAGCGTGTGACCGTTGGTTCCAGGTTTTAGCTGATCCACCTTCACAAACACCGGTTTTCGCTTCGTCGCCGTTGTCGCCATGGAACCTGAGTTAGTGTTTCTGCCTTGTGAAAGAAAAGAATCTATACAAATGAATCGATCACGCAATTTGAACCTAAGCCCTAACCCTAGTAAGTCTCTGCTGTTGATTTCAGATTTGGGGATTTAATAGGCATTGGGCCTGCTGACCTTCATTATGGGTCAAGCCCAAAAAAACAATCTTCTGTTAAAGAAATGTGGCTTGACACAATATTTTTACTAAGCTAAAATTCTAATAATATATTCCGGAATAAAGAGAGTATAGTGAGAGAGTAAAACACTAATTTTTCAAGTTAATTTTATCATATTATATTTTGAAATGCTAGATCTCCTTGTGATTTTCTTTTTTTAATCCTCTTTGAACAATAATATCCTTTTCTTTATTTCTACATTTTATAAATCTAAATGATTATTCATTAAGACTTTAATTATAGGGTGAAAAGGTGAGTTAGGTAATTTAAGGTAGTTAATTTAAGCACCACAATTAGACTTATTATATTAATATTGAATTATATGGATGAATGACATATGAAGTATTAATTAAGACATATTAAAGTTAATTATTTCCTCAATCATGTTAATTTTCTCATGTCTTTTAAATATTTTCACGTTAATTAAGTATTAGATTCATAAAGAATCTTTTTTTCTCAAGTTTGTTTATTCCTCTTCTATGGTTGTTTCTCATTTTCCCTTTCTATCTTTTACAATAATTTTGTTTACAAAGAATAAAGGTAAATGAGAGGATAAATATGTGCATGTTTTTTAGAAAGTGAAAATTTTTAACATATGATTGATTGTGTTTGTTATATATTATGTATTTTTTATTTTATTTTATTTTATTAGACTAGTATTATGATCAAAGTGAAACAGAACTTGTCATCCACTTGAAAACCATAATTAGCAAGAGCTTATAGAAACGAATTTATGTGAATTATGAATTTTATATAAATTAATCTTCCATCATATTGTGTGACATTAATTGTGGGCCTCAATTATTTTTCTTAAATATATTTGTTCTTTTGTCAATTTATAATAATTGTAATTAGAAAAAGTAAATTATACCTAAATTAAACTATCAACTAAACTTTTATTTTGACAGCGAACTAAACTATCAAATAATGTTGGTGTTGTATAAAATTAATCAAGAAGGAAATGTAAATGTAGGTAGTCTAATAATTATAGAAAATAAAAGTTCTATATTTACACGTAATAGTATATTTAATCTAAATAAGTTTATTTTTAAAAAATAATTTTTATTTTTATTATTTATTTTTCTAATAATTTAAAATATCATTCTATTTTAATTAATAAATTATAAAAAATAATTATTATGAGTTATTTATTAATTTTATTATAATTTATATGATTAAAATATTTAAAATCTTTAAATTATCAGTTGTATTTTATATTTACAAATAAGATAATGTAATAAAATATATATCCTAATTTTATTTCTTAATATATACTATACGAATTTAATTTTTTTTTTATTATTTATTCTTTTAATAGTCTAAAATATCATACTATTTTAATTATTATTAAATTATAATAAAATAAATTATAAAAATATTTTTAATTTTAAAATAAGTAATATATATGAACGTATTTAGAGGTTTGGGTCACGCCTCCACCGTCAACCTTATATATATATATATATATATATATATATATATATATATATATATATATATATATATATATATATATATATATATATAAAACTATTTATAAAAATTAAATAAAATTTATTTTATAAATATAATTAAAATTAATTTTTATTTATAATAAATATTATATATATTTTCTTATACAAATTTTCAGTTATAATTTTTTTCTTTTCTTCTTTTATTTTTATATTTTTAATCACCTGTTCACTTTCTCATTTCAAAATTTTCTCTCCTGTCTCACTCTGACTTTTTTTTTTTTTTTTTTTTATTTGCACTCATTCGCTTTGATAGGGTCTCGTTCATGATCTTATCTTATAATATTAAATTTATAATTTTTTTTTATTTTCAAATTTTTTATTTTTTATAGTTTTATGCATAAAAGTTGTACTTTTTTTTCACATAAAAAATGCGATAAAAAGTTAAAAATAAAAGAGATACCCACCATAACTTTTTTCAAAGTTAAAAAAATATTATTTTTATTATTTTCTTTATTATTATAATAACTTAATACATGTAATATATTATAAAAATAAAAAATATTGATATGAATTTTTTATTTATTATTAATTAGTTCAGTTATTCATAATATTGTATTTTGATATTAAAATGTAAAAAAAAGTAAGTTAAGTGTAATATCCACACAAAAATTATAGACTATTTTTTATGAAAAAAATAAAAAAATTAAAATTAAAATTTAATTAATAATACTGAACATATTATTAAGCATTTTATATAATACATCTATTTTAATATAATAAATATATTTATTTTTATATAATAATTAATTTTTTTATATTGATATCATTCCTCTAAAATTTCTACGTTCATTCCAAGAATTCCTTGAAATTTGTGAATTTTATTTTACAATAGTGTGAACCCACGTGTGGATCTAGATGGTTTGTTTATTAACTTGTTACTTTGTTCACAAATCATAATAACAAGAAAGAAAAAAATAGTTGATATTCTGTTGAGTTTTCCTCCTCATATAATCCTTTATAACAAAACACGCATTATTTAAACGTATGCACACTTCCATTCACTAACACCACAATTTTTATGAATTTTTATTTCATTTCTTTATCATCAAAGAATCATCATTAATGACAAGGGTGGTCCTGACTCTGTTTCTGTGTTCTCTTTTGGTTTGCTCACTCTTTGTCCACCATACTGAGGCTAAGGAAATAAGCTATAGTGCAATGACACATGACACTGTCTCTTGCAGCAGAAAAAACCCTAGTCCCTGTAAACTGCCAGAGGTTAACCCTTACCAAGAGGTTGTGAGCCACTCGACAGGTGTAGCAGCAGAAGATAAATAGACTTGTCAACTTTTTATTTCTTCTATAAAAATCATTTATATGTGTATTCATAAACCCATCTTACACTCCCATGGAAATAACAAACATAGTGTTTAAGGCGTTTTGGTGGGTAAAAAACAATTTTTGGTCTCATTAAGTAGAGAACCATGACTGGATTAAGGCATGATCAAGCAACCATTAAATTATAGACTTTCTATGTCTTATAAATTAATTATTTATATATTTTAAAATTTATTTATACATTATTATTATTATTATTTATTTGTGTTATATATAGATTATTAAATGCAACTATTTGGTTGGTAGATATAATTTTAATAAATTAGAGAATAGCTACGATATCTTTAATTTATTAATATTTATATTGTAAATATTAATTATAATTAATTATATAATATAATAAAATATACTTACATTAATTTTTCTTATATTTATGTGATTGATTATGATAAAATATTAGATTATATTTCTTAATTTACCCACAAGTTAAAAAAAATATTCTGATAGTTTTGTCATAAAGTTATGAGTATAAATTGAATAGGACTTTAGTCCGCAAACAAGTTTTATGTCAATTCATTAATTAAGATATACCTTATATTGATAAAACATAACATTTATTATAGTCTCAAATTTTGATAACGAAGATGTATTTTAAACTTTATAGTTTCATAATCTGAGTTTTTCTTAATCAAGTATAGAATTCATGAATTGAGATGTGGCAATTATAAGATTTGGAAGGACATAGTTCTTTTCCATTTAGGTTGGAGATGAACATTGATTATGCTATTAGGAAACCTAAATGACCGACTATTAGTGAGACCAACACTTTAGATGTTGTTGATCTTTATGAAAAGTGGGAGAGATCAAATCGTCTCTCAATAACCTTTATAAAGACCCATATTTCTGTTGGAATTCAGAGTTATATTGAATAATACGATAATGTGAGAAATTTACTAAAGACCATTGATGAACAATTTACTACATCAAATAAATTTCTTGCCAACACTCTTATAATGCAGTTTTCATCCTTAAAGTTCGCTAGGATTAAGTGAGTGCATGATCATATCATGCACATAAGGGACATTGTGGCTCAACTAAAAGTCCTAGAGATTTTCATGTATGATTTATTTCTAGTACATTATATTTTATGTACTTTGCCTCATCAATATGCTCTATTTAAAATATCTTACAACATACATAAAGATAAGTGGTATAATAATAAATTACGGACCATGTGTGTATAAGAGGAGGAGAGATTGCTCATGGAAGAAAGTGAAATGGTGAACTTGACTACTTCTAACAAGAAAAAGAAGAATAAAGTTAACCACAAGAGAAAAATTTCTATTTAACCAATTATAAGAAAAGAATCCAAGTGTCTCTTCTGTAAAAAGAAAGGACACATGAAGAAATACTACAAAATTTAAGAATTGGTTAGAGAAGAAAAATAATTTCTTTACTCTTGTTTGTTATGAATCTAATGTGACTAGTATTAGTCATGACACATGATGAATTGATTCTAGATCTACAATCCATGTTTGTAATACCTTTCAGGGTATGCAAAACCTGAGGAGACCAGTGAGAAGCGAACAATGTACATCTATTCAGGAAGTAAGATAAGTTTACATTTAGAGACCATTGGGACATGCAAGTTAATATTAAGTAGTGATTTCATTTTATATTTGGAAACGACCTTCTATGTTCCTAATTATTGTAAAAATTTGATTTCTATTTCACAACTTGTACCTTTGGGATTTTCATTAAATTTTATAAACTCCAATTTTACTTTATTGAATCAATCAAAGGTTGTTGGTTTTGGTCAACTATGAGATAGTTTTTACTCCATTGATTTACAAAATGACACTACATATTATTGTATGCATGTTTCTTGTGGGTTAAAACAATGTGTTGTGAATGGGGATTTCTCTATGTTGTGGCACCAGAGCTTGAGCATATTTCCATTGAGATAATTAAACGATTGGTGAATGATGAAGTACTAAGCACTTTAGATTTTACTAATTTT